CCAATCTCCATTTTCACCCCAAAATCTCCTGATTTCACTCCCCAAATCCCATTTCTATCCCAAATCTCTTTGATTTCACCCCAAAATCCCCTTTCATTCCCAAATCTCTTTTTTTTCCCCAAATCTCTCTGATTTCACCCAGAATCTCCAGATTTCATTGCCAATATTGTTTTTTCAAATCTCCCAAAATCTTCATTCATTTCCAGTTCTTATTCAAATCTGATACCCCAAAATCTCCTGATTTTTTCCATTCCCAAATCTCCATGATTTTCTCCCCAAATCCCTATCACTCCCCATCCATTTCATCAATTCTCGATTTCACCCCAAAATCTCCAGATTTCATTCCCAAATTCTACATTTTTTACCAAATCTCACCAATTTCACCCCAGAATCCCCAGATTTCATTCCCAAATTTTGAATTTTCCTTTTCCCAAAATCTCTCCTGATTTCCCCATCCCCTGATTTCATTCCATTTCCATAGATTCCACAAGTTCTCTGATTTCACCAAAAATCCCAGATTTAATTCCCGAATTCAATTTACCACATCTACCATATTTCCCCACAGATCCCCCAGATTTCATTCCAATTTAATTTTTCCCAATCTTCACCTATTTACTCCAATCCCTATCATTCCAATATCCTAGATTTCACCATCTCCTGATTCAAACCCAAAATCTCCAGATTTAATTCCCAAATTCTACATTTTTTACCAAATCCCAGCAATTTCACCCCAAAATTTCCAGATTTCATTCTGAAATTCTGTATTTTCCCCAAATCTCCCTGATTTCGCCCCAAAGTCCCCAGATTTCATTCTCAAATTCTCTTTTTCTTTTTTTTCCCTAATCTCTCTGATTTCACCCCAAAATCTCCAGATTTCATACCCAAATCTTCCTGATTTCACCCCAAAATTCCCTAATTTCATTCCCAAATTCTCTTTTTTCCCAAATCTCTCTGATTTCACCCCAAACCCCCCTCATTATCCCCAAATTTTCCCGTATCCTTCTTCCCTCCTGGTTTAATTCCCAAAATCTCCGCATTTCACCCCAAAGTTTCCTCGCCCCCAAATTTCCCTGATTTCACCCCAAAATTTCATGATTTTGACTTAAATTTTTTGTGGTGTCCCAAAATTGGCTGATTTCACCCCAAAATTGTGTCCCCGCAGATGGGGTGGGGATGGTGACGCGCATCGTCTTCGCCTGGCTCCAGGGGTGAGCACTGGGGGCACTGGGAGGGACTGGGAGCACTGGGAGGGACTGGGAGGGGTCATTGGGGTTACTGGGAGGGACTGGGAGGGGGTATTGGGGTTACTGGGAGGGACTGGGAGGGGTCACTGAGGGGACTGGGAGGGACTGGGAGCACTGGGAGGGACTGGGAGGGGTCACTGGGGTTACTGGGAGGGACTGGGAGGGGTTATTGGGGTTACTGGAAGTTACTGGGAGCACTGGGAGGGATTATTGGGATTACTGGGAGCACTGGGAGTTACTGGGAGGGTTCACTTGGGTTACTGGGATGTACTGGGAGAGGCTACTGGGAGCACTGGGAGGGGCTACTGGTTGTTACTGGTTATCACTGGGGCCCTTCTTGGTCCATACCAGTCCATACTGGTCCATACTGGTTTATATTGGTCTATATTGGTTATAGGGGGTCTGTACTGGTCTATACTGGTTTATACTGGTCCATGCTGGTCTGTATTGGGCCATACTGGTTTATACTGGTCCGTATTGTTTGGTACCGGTCCATACTGGTTGGCACTGATCTGTACTGGTCCATACTGGTTTATACTGGTCCATACTGATTGGTACTGGTTCATACTGGTTGGTACTGGTCTGTATGGGTCCATACTGGTCTATACTGGCCTGGTTTGTACGGGTCCATACTGGTTTATGCTGGTTTATACTGGGCCATACTGGTTTATACTAGGTGGTACCAGTCCATACTGGTCCATGCTGGTTTATGCTGGGCCATACTGGTTTATACTGGTCTATACTGGTTGGTACCAGTCCATACTGGTCCATTCTGATCCATATTGGTTGGTACCAGTCCATGCTGGTCCGTACTGGTTTATACCGGTCCATACTGATTTATACTGATCTGTCCTGGTCCATACTGGTCCATACTGGTTTATATGATCCATACTGGTTGGTACCAGTCCATACTGGTCCATACTGGTTGGTACCAGTCCATACTGGTTTATACCGGTCCATACTGCTTGATACTGATCTGTACTGGTCCATACTGGTTTATACTGGTCCATACTGGTTGGTACTGATTTGTACTGGTCCATACTGGTTTATACTGGTTTATACTGGTCCATACTGGTTAGTACCAGTCCATACTGGTCCATACTGGTTGGTACTGATCTGTACTGATCCATACTGGTTTACACTGGTCCATACTGGTTGGTACTGATCTGTAGTGGTCCATACTGGTTTATGCTGGTCCACATTGGTCCATACTGGTTTATACTGGTCTGTACTGGTTTATACTGGTCTGTACTTGCCCATACTGGTTTATAGTGGTTTATACTGGTCTGTACTGGTCCATACTGGTTTATACTGGTCCATACTGGTCTGGTCTGTACTGGTCCATACTGGTTTATACTGGTCTGTGCTGGTCCATACTGTTTTATACTGGCCTGTACTGGTTTATACTGGTCCATACTGGTTTATACTGGTCCATACTGTTTTATACTGGTCCATACTGGTCCATACTGGTCCCTCCCCCACAGACCCTCCCTGGACTGCGAGGCCAAGCAGTGGCGGTGAGTCACGTGACCTCCCGTTAACCCCGCCCCCTTTTCCTTAACCCCGCCCCCTTTTCCTTAACCCCGCCCCCTTTGGCAGTGGCCCCGCCCCCTCGGGTGAGGCCCCGCCCCTGACCACCCTTGGCCCCGCCCCTCGCAGGCTGGCCGCTGACGTCATCAACGACCTGGGGCTGGTGCTGGAGCTGCTGGCGCCGTACTGGGGGGGGCGGGGCCTCTGCTGCTGGGCGGGGCCGCCATCGCCAGGGTGTGACGTCACGGGGGGCGGGGCCTCAAGGGGGGCGGGGCTTGGGGGCTGGGGGCGGGGTTTAGGGGGGAGGGGCGGGGCTTGGGGGAGGGGGTGGGGTTTAGGGGGGAGGGGGCGGGGGCTTGGGGTGTTAGAGGGGGACTGGGGGTACTGGGGGATACTGGGGGGTGACTGGGATGGGACTGGGGGATACTGGGGAGTACTGGGAGTATACTGGGAGATACTGGGGGGTACTGGGAGATCCTGGGGGGTATTGGGAGAGTACTGGGGTGGGACTGGGGAATACTGGGAGTATACTGGGGGTACTGGGGTGGGACTGGGGTGTACTGGGAGAGTACTGGGGGGTACTGGAGTGGTACTGGGTACTGGGTGTACTGGGGGGGACTGGGGTGAGACTGGGGATACTGGGAGATACTGGGGGTACTGGGAGATACTGGGGGGCACTGGGAGAGTACTGGGGGGTACTGGAGTGGTACTGGGGGATACTGGGGTGGGACTGGGGAGTACTGGGAGATACTGGGGGGTACTGGGAGAGTACTGGGGTACTGGAGTGGTACTGGGGGTACTGGGAGAGTAGTGGGAGATACTAGGGGTACTGGAGTGGTACTGGGGGATACTGGGAGAGTACTGGGGGGTACTGGGGTGGGACTGGGGAGTACTGGGAGGTACTGGGAGAGTACTGGGGGGTACTGGAGTGGTACTGGGGGTTACTGGGGATACTGGGGTGGGACTGGGGAGTACTGGGAGTATACTGGGGGGTACTGGGATATACTGGGAGATACTGGGGGGCACTGGAGTGGTACTGGAGTGGTACTGGAGGGTACTGGGGGATACTGGGAATTACTGGGGGGTACTGGAGTGGTACTGGGAGAGTACTGGGGGGTATTGGAGTGGTGCTGGGGGGTACTGGAGTGCTACTGGGGAGTACTGGGAGGTACTGGGAGACACTGGGGTGGGACTGGGGAGTACTGAGAGTATACTGGGAGATATACTGGGGGGTACTGGAGTGGTACTGGGGGATACTGGGGTGGGACTGGGGGTTACTGGGAGGTACTGGGGGTACTGGAGTGGTACTGGGGATACTGGGGGTGTACTGGGGATACTGGGAGAGTACTCTGGGGGGTACTGGGGGATACTGGGAGAATACTGGGGGAATACTGGGGGATACTGGGGGATACTGGGGTGATGTCAAAGGGATACTGGCGAATGTTGGGAGATACTGGGGGATACTGGGAGGCACTGGGATGCCACTGGGTGCCATTAGGGTCCCATTGGGTGCCCCTGGGCGATACTGGGTGATACTGGGAGCTACTGGGGTGGCATTATGGTGGCTCTAGGGTGTTACTGGGAGTTACTGGGGTGTTACTGGGAGGCACTGGGGTGTTACTGGGAGGCACTGGGGTGCCACTGGGTGGTACTGGGAGGCACTGGGGCGCTACTGGGTGCCATTAAGGTCCCATTGGGTGCCCCTGGGCGATACTGGCGATACTGGGAGCTACTGGGCTGCCGTTCTGGTGGCACTGGGAGGCACTGGGGTGTTACTGGGTGTTACTGGGAGGTACTGGTGTGTTACTGGGAGGCACTGGGTGTTACTGGGAGGCACTGGGGTGCCACTGGGTGCCATTATGGTCCCATTGGGTGCCCCTGGGCGATACTGGGGGATACTGGGAGCTACTGGTTCTGGCTGCCGTTCTGGTGGCACTGGGGTGGTACTGGTTGTTACTGGTTCATACTGGGAGCCAACTGGTGTCCCCAGAGCGCGGTGGCGGTGGCGGGCGGGGCCACGCGGGCGGCCGTGGGCCGTGCACCAGGCCCGCAGGGAGAACGCGGCCGAGGTGAGCGCCAAGGATGGCAGCCAGGTGAGACTGGTTTGGACTGGGACAAACTGGGAGCACTGGGAGGGGCTGGGGAGGGCGCCGGGAGGGGCCGGGAGGGGGTTGGGTGGGGTTGGGGGGCACTGGGAGGGACTGGGAGGGTACTGGGAGGGAGTGGGGTGGTGGGGGGGGTCACTGGGAGGTACTGGGAGGGGTCACTGGGGTTACTGGGAGGTACTGGGAGGGGTCACTGGGGTTACTGGGAGGACTGGGAGCGCTGGGGTGGGAGTGGGATGAGGGGAGGGCAACTGGTTTGTAATGGGAGCTGTGGGAGGGGAACTGGGAGCACTGGGAAGAACTGGGAGGGCAACTGGCTGGTACCGGGGAGCACCGGGGAGTGGAACTGGTTCATACTGGGAGCACTGGGGAGGGAACTGATTCTATACTGGGAGGGGAATCGGTTCATACTGGGAGCTCTGGGAGGGGAACTAGGAGCACTGGGAGGTATTGGGAGGGCAGCTTGTCCATACTGGGCTTACTGGGAGGGGAACCGGTTCATACTGGGAGCACTGGGAGGGGAACCAGTTCATACGGGGCTTACTGGGAGGGGAACTGGGAACACTGGGAGGACCTGGGAGGGCAACCGGTTGATACTGGGCTTACTGGGAGTGGAACCAGTTCGTAATGGGGACACTGGGAGGAACTGGGAGGGTAACTGGTTCATACTGGGAGAGGAACCAGTTCATACTGGGCTTACTGGCAGGGGAACTGGGAACACTGGGAGGACCTGGGAGGACAACTGGTTGATACTGGGCTTACTGGGAGTGCAACCAGTTCATACTGGGTAGAAAGGGAGGAACTGGGAGGGGAACTGGTTCATACTGGGAGCACTGGGAAGGGAAGTGGCTGGGAGCTGGGAGCTGTAACGGGTCCGTACTGGCCCATACTGGTTTGTACTGGTCCATACTGGTTTGTACTGGTCCATACTGGTTTGTACTGGTTCATACTGGTTTGTACTGGTCCTTACTGGTCTGTACTGGGCAGGAGACGCTGGTGAACGCCGTGGGGCTGCTGCTGGCGCTGCTGCTGCTGCCCCTGCTGGAGGGGCGGCCATGGTGAGGGGGCGGAGCCCCAGGGGCTGATGGGATACAGGAGGACTTTCACTTTCACTTTCACTTTCACTTTCGTTTTTGCCCATGGGGGAGGAGCTCAGCGATTGGCTGGGGAACCGCAGGGGCTGATGGGATGGGGGCGCCGCAGGGGCTGATGGGAAGGTATGGGGAGTCACAGGGGATGATGGGAAGGCTCTGAGCCCCAGGGGCTGATGGGATAGGGGATTACTTTCACTTTCATTTTGTACTTTCACTTTCATTTTTGACCATGGGGTGGGGAACCCCGGGGGCTGATGGGATGGGGACGCCGCAGGGGCTGATGGGAAGGTGTGGGGAGCCCCGGGGGCTGATGGGATAGGGGATTACTTTCACTTTCATTTTTTACTTTCACTTTCGTTTTGGACCATGGGGGAGAAGCTCAGCGATTGGCTGGGGAACCCCAGGGGCTGATGGGACGGGGGCGCCGCAGGGGCTGATGGGAAGGGTCGGGGAGCCCCAGGGGCTCATGGGAAAGTTCCGAGCCCCAGAGGCTGATGGGATATGGGAGTACTTTCACTTTCATTTTGTACTTTCACTTTCACTTTTGACCATGGGGTGGGGAACCCCGGGGGCTGATGGGATGGGGGCGCCGCAGGGGCTGATGGGAAGGTGTGGGGAGCCCCAGGGGCTGATGGGATAGGGGATTACTTTCACTTTCTCTTTGTACTTTCACTTTCACTTTTGACCATGGGGTGGGGAACCCCGGGGGCTGATGGGACGGGGGCGCCGCAGGGGCCGATGGGAAGGGGTCAGGACCCCCAGGGGTTCATGGGAAAGTTCCGAGCCCCAGGGGCTGATGGGATATGGGAGTACTTTCACTTTCACTTTGGACTTTCACTTTCGTTTTTGCCCATGGGGAAGAAGCTCAGCGATTGGCTGGGGAACCCCGGGGGCTGATGGGACGGGGGCGCCGCAGGGGCTGATGGGAAGGGTCCGGGAGCCCCGGGGCTGATGGGAAACGTCCCCGCAGGCTGAGCTGGCTGCTGGTGGCCCTGCTGGTGGCCGCCCACCTGGGCTGCAACCTGAGGGCGGTGGGGGCCCTCTGCATGCCCACCCTCAACAGGCCCCGCCTCCGCCTCGCCCTGGACGGGGCTTGCGGGGAAGCCCCGCCCCCAAGGCCCAGGCCACGCCCCCCGGCGGTGACGTCATCGACCTGCCCGTGCCCGGCCCCGAGGAGGTCAACCCCCGAGAGCCGCTGCTGCCCGGTGAGGATGGGGGCACCCGGGGGTGTCACCCGGTGTCACCCGGTGTCACCTGGGGTCACCCGGGGTCACCTGGGGTCACCTGGGGTCACTCGGGGTCACCTGGGGTCATGTGGGGTCACCCCTTTGTCACCCAGTGTCTTTGTGTCACCCCCCCGGTCACCCAATGTCAGCCTTTTGTCACCCAGTGCCACCCAATGTCACCCTCATGTCACCCCCTTGTCACCCAACGTCACCCTCATGTCACCCAGCGCCACCCAGTGTCACCTTAGTGTCACCCAGTGTCACCCAAAGCCACCCAATGTCACCCATTGTCACCCTACGTCACCCCCTTGTCACCCAACGTCACCCTTATGTCACCCAGCATCACCCTAGTGTCACCCAGTGTCACCCCCGTGTCACCCAGTGTCAACCTTGTGTCACCCAATGTCACCCAATGTCACCCTACGTCACCCCCTTGTCACCCAATGTCACTCTCACGTCACCCAGTGTCACCCAGTGTCACCCGGTGTCACCCAGTGTCACCCTACGTCACCCCCTTGTCACCCAACTTCACCCCCGTGTCACCCAACGCCACCCTTGTGTCACCTAGCGTCACCCTCATGTTACCTCTTGTCACCCAACTTCACCCCCTTGTCACCCAGTGTCACCTTAATGTCACCCCTATATCACCCAACGTCACCCCTGTGTCACCCAGTGTCACCCAACATCACCCTTGTGTCACCCAGTGTCACCCTTGTGTCACCCAGTGTCACCCAGTGTCACCCAACGTCACCCTCGTGTCACCCCTTGTCACCCAGCTTCACCCCTGTGTCACCCAATGTCACCTTCTTGTCACCCAACGTCACCCAATGTCACCCCCATGTCACCCAACCTCATCCTTGTGTCACCTGGGGCCGCCCAGTGTCACCCAACGTCACCCTTGTGTCACCCAGTGTCACCCAACTTCACCCCCTTGTCACCCAACGCCACCCTTGTGTCACCCAAAGCCACCCCAATGTCACCCCTTGTCACCCTACGTCACCCCCTTGTCACCCAATGCCACCCTCATGTCACCCAGCATCACCCTAGTGTCACCCAATGTCACCCTCATGTCACCCAACACCACCCTTGTGTCACCCAACGTCACCCAGTGTCACCTTAATGTCACCCAACGTCACCCAGTGCCACCCAACATCACCCCCGTGTCACCCATTGTCACCCAACGTCAACCTTGTGTCACCCAATGTCACCCCTTGTCACCCTGTGTCACCCCCTTGTCACCCGATGTCACCCTCGTGTCACCCAACACCACCCTTGTGTCACCCCCTTGTCACCCGATGTCACCCTTGTGTCACCCAACCTCATCCTTGTGTCACCCAATGTCACCCAACCTCATCCTTGGGTCACCCAGTGTCACCCAACGTCACCCTTTTGTCACCTGCGGTCACCCAACGTCACCCAGTGTCACCCAACGCCAGCTCCGTGTCACCCAGCATCACCCTAGTGTCACCCAGTGTCACCCCCGTGTCACCCAATGCCACCCAACGCCACCCAAGGTCACCCTACATCATCCCCTTGTCACCCAATGTCACCCTCATGTCACCCAACGCCACCCAGCATCACCCAGTGTCACCCAATGTCACCCAACTTCACCCTCGTGTCACCTGGGGTCACCCAGCGTCACCCAGCATCACCCAGTGTCACCCAATGTCACCCAACTTCACCCTTGTGTCACCTGGGGTCACCCAGCGTCCCCCAGTGTCACCCAACTTCACCCCCTTGTCACCCAATGTCACCCTCATGTGACCCAACGCCACCCAGTGTCACCCAGTGTCACCCAGTGTCAACCTTGTGTCACCCAATGTCACCCTACGTCACCCCCTTGTCACCCAATGTCACCCTCATGTCACCCAACGCCACCCTTGTGTCACCCAGTGTCACCCAATGTCACCCAACCTCATCCTTGTGTCACTTGGGTCACCCAATGTCACTCTCATGTCACCCCACGCCACCCAGTGTCACCCAGCGTCACCCAGCATCACCCAGTGTCACCCAATGTCACCCAACTTCACCCTTGTGTCACTTGGGGTCACCCAGTGTCACCCAGCGTCACCCCTTGTCACCCCAACTTCACCCCCTTGTCACCCAATGTCACCCTCATGTCACCCAACGCCACCCAGTGTCACCCAGTGTCACCCAGTGTCAACCTTGTGTCACCCAATGTCACCCAGCGCCACCCAGTGTCACCCTACGTCACCCCCTTGTCACCCAACTTCACCCCCTTGTCACCCAATGCCACCCTTGTGTCACCCAGTGTCACCCAATGTCACCCAACCTCATCCTTGTGTCACTTGGGTCACCCAATGTCACCCTCATGTCACCCAACGCCACCCAGTGTCACCCAGCATCACCCAGTGTCACCCAATGTCACCCAACTTCACCCTTGTGTCACCTGGGGCCACCCAGTGTCACCCAACGTCACCCAATGCCACCCAACGTCACCCAGTGTCACCTTAATGTCACCCAACGTCACCCAGTGCCACCCAACATCACCCCCGTGTCACCCAGTGTCACCCAACGTCATCCTTTGGTCACCTGGGGTCACCCACGTCACCCAGTGTCACCCAATGTCACCCAGTGTCACCCAATGTCACCCAATGCCACTCCTGTGTCACCCAGTATCGCCCCAGTGTCACCCAGTGTCACCCAACGTCACCCTTTGGTCACCTGGGGTCACCCAACGTCACCCAGTGTCACCCAATGTCACCCAGTGTCACCCAATGTCACCCAATGCCACTCCTGTGTCACCCAGTATCACCCCAGTGTCACCCAGTGTCACCCAATGCCACCCAGTGTCACCCAGTGTCAACCTTGTGTCACCCAATGCCCCCCAACGCCCCCCCACGTCACCCAGTGTCACCCACCACCCCACCCCGTGTCACCCAACGTCACCCAACGTCCCCCCCTAACGTCCCCCCACTCCAGGCTTCAGCACCCGCCTGCGCCTCCACCTGGGCGCCCCCCTGCACCGCCTGGTCAAGAGGTGAGGAGGGGGGGAAATCGGGGGGCCGGGGGGGGGTCCCCAAATTGGGGAGGGGTCCCTAAATTGGGGTGGGGTCCCCAAATCGGGGGGGGGTCCCCAAATTTGTCCCCGCAGCGTGGCCGAGCTGAGGAAGGCGGCGGAGTGCGGCACCCGCGACTACCTCATCGTGCTGCGCCCCAGCCAAGGTGGGGGGGGGTCCCCAAAATTTTTGGGGGGGGTCCCCAAATTGGGGAGGGGTCCTGAGTCCCAACGGGGGGGTCCTCAACCTAACGGGGGGGTCCCAAACCCAACGGGGGGGTCGCCAACCCAACGGGGGGGTCCCCAAGTCAATGGGGGGGTCCCCAAGTCTATGGGGGGGTCCTCAACCCAACGGGGGGGTCCCCAAATCAATGGGGGGGTCCCCAAGTCATTGGGGGGTCCTCAACCCAACGGGGGGGTCCCCAAATCAATGGGGGGGTCCCCAACCCAACGGGGGGGTCGCCAACCCAACGGGGGGGTCCCCAACTCAATGGGGGGGTCCCCAACCCAATGGGGGGGTCCCCAAATCAATGGGGGGGTCCCCAAATCAGTGGGGGGGTCCCCAACCCAACGGGGGGGTCGCCAACTCAACGGGGGGGTCCCCAAGTCAATGGGGGGGTCCCCAACCCAACGGGGGGTCCCCAAATCAGTGGGGGGGTCCCCAACCCAACGGGGGGGTCCCCAAACCAACGGGGGGGTCCTCAACCCAATGGGGGGGTCCCCAACTCAATGGGGGGGTCCCAAAACCAATGGGGGGGTCCCCAACCCAATGGGGGGGTCCCCAAATCAGTGGGGGGGTCCCCAACCCAACGGGGGGGTCGCCAACCCAACGGGGGGGTCCCCCAACCCAATGGGGGGGTCCCCAACTCAATGGGGGGGTCCCCAACCCAACGGGGGGGGGTCCCCAACCCAATGGGGGGGTCCCCAACCCAATGGGGGGGTCCCCAAATCAATGGGGGGTCCCCAACCCAATGGGGGGGTCCCCAAGTCAATGGGGGGGTCCCACAAATCAGTGGGGGGTCCCCAAGTCAATGGGGGGTCCCCAAGTCAATGGGGGGGTCCCCAAATCAGTGGGGGGTCCCCAAGTCAATGGGGGGTCCCCAAGTCAATGGGGGGGTCCCCAACCCAATGGGGGGGTCCCCAAGTCAATGGGGGGGTCCCCAAATCAGTGGGGGGTCCCCAAATCAATGGGGGGTCCCAAACCCAATGGGGGGGTCCCCAAGTCAATGGGGGGGTCCCCAAGTCAATGGGGGGTCGCCAACCCAATTGGGGGGGTCCCCAACCCAACGGGGGGGTCCCCAACTCAATGGGGGGGTCCCCAAGTCTATGGGGGGGTCCCCAACTCAATGGGGGGTCCCCAACCCAACGGGGGGGTCCCCAACCCAATGGGGGGGTCCCCAGTCAATGGGGGGGTCCCCAAATCAGTGGGGGGGTCCCCAACCCAATGGGGGGGTCCCCACTCAATGGGGGGGTCCCCAACCCAATGGGGGGGTCCCAAGTCTATGGGGGGGTCCCCAACCAATCGGGGGGTCCCAAATAAGTGGGGGGGTCCCCAACCCAACGGGGGGGTCCCCAAACCAATGGGGGGGTCCCCAACCCAATGGGGGGGTCCCCAACTCAATGGGGGGTCGCCCACCCAATTGGGGGGGTCCCCCCCTAACGATGGGTCCCCCCGCCCCCCCTCAGGCTGGGTGGGGGTGGGGCTGCGTCACGGGGCCCCCCCCGACACCCCCCTGCGGGCCTGCGCCCACGCCCTGCTGCTGGAGGAGCTGCTGGGCCCCGAGCTGCCCCCGGGGGCACCCATGGGTGCTGCCCTGCGCCGCCTCCAGCAGCGCCTGCGCCGCTGCCGTGAGTGCCCGGGGGGGGGTCCCGGGGGGGTTTTGGGGTGGTTTTGGGGTGGGTTTTGGGTCCCCATGGGGGGTTGGGGGGGGGTTAGGGGGGTTTTGGGGTCCCTAGGGTGGTTTTTTGGGTGGTTTTGGGGTCTTTGAGGTGGTTGAGGGGGTTCTTGGGGGGTTGGAGGGGTCCCAAGGGTGGTTTTGGGGGTCCCTGGGGTGGTTTTGGGGGTCTTTGGGGTGGTTTTGGGGGTCCTGGAGGGGTCCCTAGGGTGGTTTTGGGGGTCTCCGAGGTGGTTTTGGGGTCCCCATGGGGGATTGGGGGGAGCTAGGGGGGACTTGGGGTTCCTAGGGTGGGTTTTGGGGTCCTGGAGGGGTCCCAAGGGTGGTTTTGGGGGTCTCTGGGGTGGTTTGGGGTCCCCGAGGTGGTTTTGGGGTCTTTGGGGTGGTTTTGGGGAGCCCCGAGGTGTTTTTTGGGGTCCCTGGGGTGATTTTGGGGTCCCCAAGGTGGTTTTGGGGTCTTTGGGGTCGTTTTGGGGTCCCCGAGGTGTTTTTTGGGGTCTTTGGGGTGGTTTGGGGGTCCCCGAGGTGTTTTTTGGGGTCTTTGGGGTGGGTTTTGGGGTCTTTGGGGTGGTTTTGGGGAGTCCCCGAGGTGTTTTTGGAGTGCTTTGGGGGTCTTTGGGGTGGTTTTGGGGTCCCCATGGGGGGTTTGGGGGGGCCTAGGGGGATTTGGGGTCTTTGGGGTGGTTTTGGGGGTCCTGGAGGGGTCCCTAGGGTGGTTTTGGGGGTCTCTGGGGTGGTTTTGGGGTCCCCCCATGGGGGGTTTGGGGGGGCCTAGGGGGGATTTGGGGTCTTTGGGGTGGTTTTTGGGGGTCCTGGAGGGGTCCCTAGGGTGGTTTTGGGGTAATTTGGGGGGGTTCCGAGGTGGTTTTGGGAGGTTGTAGGGGTCCCAAGGGTGGTTTTGGGGGTCCCTAGAGTGGTTTTGGGGGTCCCTGGGGTGATTTGGGGGATATTTGGGGTGGTTTTGGGGTCCATGAGGTGGTTTTGGGGGTGTTTGGGGGTCCCCGAGGTGGTTTTGGGTGGTCCTGGGGCATTTGGGGGGTCCCTAGGGTGGTTTTTGGGGGGTCTTTGGGGTGGTTTTGGGGTCTCCAAGGTGTTTTGGGGGTCCTTGAGATGATTTTGGGGTTCCCAGTGGGGTTTTGGGGTTCTTGGTTGGGTTTTGGGGCTGGTTTTGGGGTGGTTTTCCTGGTTTTGGGGCTTCATTTTGGGGCTCCCTGGGCCCATTTTGGGGCTGAGAGTTGGGTTTTTGGGGCCCTGGGGTCAATTTTTGGGGTCCTGATGATGTTTTTTGGGTTTCTGGGGTGAGATTTTGGGGTTCTTGGTTGGGTTTTGGGGCTGGTTTTGGGGTGGTTTTTCCTCGTTCCTGGGCTTCATTTTGGGGCTCCCTGGGACCATTTTGGGGCTGAGAGTTGGGTTTTTGGTGTCCCGGGGACATTCTTGGGGGTCAGGGGATGGGATTTTGGGGTCAGAGGATGGGATTTTGGGGTTCTCGGATGGGTTTTGGTGCTGGTTTTGGGGTGGTTTTCCTGGTTTTGGGGCTTCATTTTGGGGCTCCCTGGGACCATTTTGGGGCTGAGAGTTGCGTTTTTGGGATCCCGGGGACATTTTTTGACGTCCTGATGACATTTTTTGGGCTCGGGGGATGGGATTTTGGGCTCAGAAGATGGGATTTTGGGGTTCTTGGTTGGGTTTTGGGGTGGTTTTCCTCATTCCTGGGCTTGCTTCTGGGGTTCCCTGGAGCCATTTTGGGGCTGAGAGTTGGGTTTTTGGAATCCTGGGGATGATTTTTGGGGTCCCGGAGTAGGATTTTGGGGACAAGGGGTGGGATTTTGGGGTTCTTGGTTGGGTTTTGGGGATGGTTTTGGGGTGGTTTTCTTTGTTCCTGGACTTCATTTTGGGGCTCCCTGGGGCCATTTTGGGGCTGAGAGTTGGGTTTTTGGGATCCCGGGGACATTTTTTGATGTCCCGATGACATTTTTTGGGCTCGGGGGATGGGATTTTGGGCTCAGAAGATGGGATTTTGGGGTTCTTGGTTGTTTTTTGCGGTGGTTTTCCTCATTCCTGGGCTTGCTTCTGGGGTTCCCTGGAGCCATTTTGGGGCTGAGAGTTGGGTTTTTGGGGTTCCAGGGACATTTTTTGGGGTCCTGATGATGTTTTTTGGGGTCCTGGGGTGGGATTTTGGGGTTCTCGGATGGGTTTTGGGGCTGGTTTTGGGGTGGTTTTCCTGGTTCCTGGGCTTCATTTTGGGGCTCCCTGGGGCCATTTTGGGGCTGAGAGTTGCGTTTTTGGGGATCCCGGGGACATTTTTTGACGTCCCGATGACATTTTTTGGGCTCGGGGGATGGGATTTTGGGCTCAGAAGATGGGATTTTGGGGTTCTTGGTTGGGTTTTGGGGTGGTTTTCCTGGTTCCTGGGCTTCATTTTGGGGCTCCCTGGGGCCATTTTGGGGCTGAGAGTTGGGTTTTTGGTGTCCCGATGACATTTTTTGGGGTCAGGGGATGGGATTTTGGGGTCAGAGGATGGGATTTTGGGGTTCTTGGTTGGGTTTTGGGGCTGGTTTTGGGGTGGTTTTCCTGGTTTTGGGGCTTCATTTTGGGGCTCCCTGGAGCCATTTTGGGGCTGAGAGTTGGGTTTTTGGAATCCTGGGGATGATTTTTGGGGTCCCGGAGTAGGATTTTGGGGACAGGGGGTGGGATTTTGGGGATCTTGGTTGGGTTTTGGGGCTGGTTTTGGGGTGGTTTTCCTGGTTCCTGGGCTTCATTTTGGGGCTCCCTGGGGCCATTTTGGGGCTGAGAGTTGCGTTTTTGGGATCCCGGGGACATTTTTTGGTGTCCCAATGACATTTTTTGGGCTCGGGGGATGGGATTTTGGGCTCAGAAGATGGGATTTTGGGGTTCTTGGTTGGGTTTTGGGGTGGTTTTCCTCATTCCTGGGCTTGCTTTTGGGGCTTTCTGGGACAATTTTGGGGCTGAGAGTTGGGTTTTTGGAATCCTGGGGATGATTTTTGGGGTCCCGGAGTAGGATTTTGGGGACAGGGGGTGGGATTTTGGGGTTCTTGGTTGGGTTTTGGGGCTGGTTTTGGGGTGGTTTTCCTGGTTCCTGGGCTTCATTTTGGGGCTCCCTGGGGCCATTTTGGGGCTGAGAGTTGGGTTTTTGGGGTCCTGAGGACATTTTTTGGGTGTCCTGGGGACTATTTTTGGGGTCCTGGGGTGGGATTTGGAGGTTTTTGGATGGGTTTTGGGGCTGGTTTTGGGGTGGTTTTCCTGGTTCCTGGGCTTGCTTTTGGGGCTCCCTGGGGCCATTTTGGGGCTGAGAATTGGGTTTTTGGAATCCTGGGGATGATTTTTGGGGTCCCGGAGTAGGATTTTGGGGACAGGGGGTGGGATTTTGGGGTTCTGGTTGGGTTTTGGGGCTGGTTTTGGGGTGGTTTTCCTGGTTTTGGGGCTTCATTTTGGGGCTCCCTGGGGCCGTTTTGGGGCTGAGAGTTGCGTTTTTGGGATCCCGGGGACATTTTTTGGTGTCCCAATGACATTTTTTGGGCTCGGGGGATGGGATTTTGGGCTCAGAAGATGGGATTTTGGGGTTCTTGGTTGGGTTTTGGGGCTGGTTTTGGGGTGGTTTTCCTCGTTCCTGGGCTAGCTTTTGGGGCTCCGTGGGGCCATTTTGGGGCTGAGAGTTGGGTTTTTGGTGTCCCGAGGACATTTTTGGGGTCAGGGGATGGGATTTTGGGGTCAGAGGATGGGATTTTGGGGTTCTCGGATGGGTTTTGGGGCTGGTTTTGGGGTGGTTTTCCTGGTTCCTGGGCTTCATTTTGGGGCTCCCTGGGGCCATTTTGGGGCTGAGAGTTGCGTTTTTGGTGTCCCGGGGACATTTTTTGACGTCCCGATGACATTTTTTGGGCTCGGGGGATGGGATTTTGGGCTCAGAAGATGGGATTTTGGGGTTCTTGGTTGTGTTTTGGGGTGGTTTTCCTCATTCCTGGGCTTCATTTTGGGGCTCCCTGGGGCCATTTTGGGGCTGAGAGTTGGGTTTTTGGTGTCCCGGGACATTTTTTGGGGTCAGGGGATGGGATTTTGGGGTCAGAGGATGGGATTTGGGGGTTCTTGGATGGGTTTTGGGGCTGGTTTTGGGGTGGTTTTTCCTGGTTTTGGGGCTTCATTTTGGGGCTCCCTGGGGCCGTTTTGGGGCTGAGAGTTGCGTTTTTGGTGTCCCGGGGACATTTTTTGGTGTCCCGATGACATTTTTTGGGCTCGGGGGATAGAATTTTGGGCTCAGAAGATGGGATTTTGGGATTCCCCACCCATTTCCCCGTTGTGTCCCCCCCATTCCAGCTCCGGGTTCGGTGCCGTGGGCCGCCTTGGCCGAAAGCTCGCGGATTTGGGATGACGTCATCGGCCCCGCCTTCTTACGTGGTAAGTGACGTCATCATGACGTCATCACCTTGTCATGACGTCATCAGCAAGGCGATGACGTCATCCCCTACTTTTTTAGGCTTGGCCAACGCCGGTTGGCTGACGGAGCGCCACCAACTGGCCCCCGACGAATGGCGGCTCGACTGGGCGGGGCTGGGGGGCGGGGTTTCGGGGGAGAAGCCCCGCCCACCTTGACTCCACCCGATTTCCCCCAAAATTACCCCAAAACGGCGCGAGGAGCGAAAATCGCTTTTTTTTCGACAACCGGATCAAATTTCCCCCGGTTTTGGGGGGCGATTTACGAAAATTCACATTTTTTGCATCCCTTCCGGACTTTTCGCACCCAAAAAGCAAAGTTTGAGGGTGGTTTTGGGGTCGTTTGGGGTGCTTTTGGGTCATTTGGGGTGGTTTTGGGTCATTTCGGATGGTTTGGGGTCATTTGGGATGGTTTTGGGGTCATTTGGGACGGTTTTGGGGTAATTGTGGGCAACCTGGATGTTTTGGGACATTTTGATGAAATTCTTCGGATTTGGGACATGCATTTGAATTTTGGGGCGAATCAGGTGTTTTAAGACATTTTGATGATTCATAAATGCTTTGAGAAGATTTCAGCAACGTTTTGGGGTTAGTTTGGGATGTTTTGGTGTTTCTGAGCGTTTCAGCGGCGTTTCTGGGTATTTTCACCTTATTTGAAGGATTTGAGGGCATTTTGGGGGACAAACAATGTTTATTAGGGTTTGGGGGGTAAAAGCAACATTTTTGGGCATTTTTTCACATTTCCGGAAGCTTTTGGGGGAACTTTGGGGGGAAATCCCGACACTTTGGGGCCAATTATGGGATTTTTGGGGTTATGAGGATTTGGGGGTAATAACAGCATTTTGGGGGGCGTTTTTTCACATTTCCGAGGTAGCTTTGGGGGAATTTGGGGGAAAATCCTGACACTTTGGGTCCAACTATGAGATTTTTGGGGGAAAATCTCGACACTTTGGGGCCAATTATGGGATTTTGGGGGTTATGAGGATTTTAGGGGTAAAAACAACATTTTTGGGGCGTTTTTTTCACATTTTCGAGATAGCTTTGGGGGAATTTGGGGGAAAATCCCGACACTTTGGGGCCAATTATGAGATTTTGGGGGGGAAATCCCGACACTTTGGGTCCAATTATGAGATTTTTTGGGGGGGGAAATCCTGACACTTTGGGGCCAATTATGGGATTTTGGGGGTTATGAGGATTTTGGGGGTACTAACAGCATTTTTGGGGCGTTTTTTCACATTTCCGAGGTAGCTTTGGGGAAATTTGGGGGGAAATCCTTACACTTTGGGGCCAATTATGGGATTTTTGGGGTTATGAGGATTTTGGGGGTATTAACAGCATTTTTGGGGCATTTTTTCACATTTCCGAGGTAGCTTTGGGGGAAATTTGGGGGGAAATCCTTACACTTTGGGTCCAATTATGAGATTTTTGGGGGGAAATCCTGACACTTTGGGGCCAATTATGGGATTTTGGGGGGAAATCCCGACATTTTGGGTCCAATTATGAGATTTTTTGGGGGGGGAAATCCCGACACTTTGGGTCCAATTATGAGATTTTTTGGGGGGGGAAATCCTGACACTTTGGGGCCAATTATGAGATTTTTGGGGGAAATCCCGACATTTTGGGTCCAATTCTGAGATTTTTGGGGTTATGAGGATTTTGGGGGTAATAACAACATTTTGGGGGCGTTTTTTTCACATTTCTGAGGTAGCTTTGGGGTGTTTTGGGGGGAAATCCCGACACTTTGGGTCCAATTATGAGATTTTGGTGGGGGAAATCCTGACATTTTGGGTCCAATTCTGAGATTTTTGGGGTCATTTTTTTGGACATTCCTCGCGGTAGCCTTTTTTGGGCCATTTTGGGGCCGTTTTGGACGTTTGGGGAGCGGATTTTTGGGGAGCGGATTTTTGGTGATTTTTTGGTCTCAAAACGGGCGATTTTGGGGCATTTTAAGCGAAATAACCCCAAAGGAAGACGGCGACGGCCGTCATGATGACCGCGTTGACGTCGACCACCCGGCTCCACACCGGGTCCTCGGGGGGCGGGGCCTCGAACTTGGCCCCGCCCCCCGCCCCTCCAGGCTCCGCCCCTTGTCCAATTGGCTCCGCCCCTTTTCCCGTTGGCTCCGCCCCCTGGGGCTTTGGCTCCGCCCCCTGGCCGCTTGGCTCCGCCCCTTGTCCCTTTGGCTCCGCCCCCTGGCCGCTTGGTGTCACCTCCACGTCTGGAAGAGGACCAGGAGCCACGTGGCCACGGGGTCCCCAAGGCCACCAAGGCCACCACTGATGTCCCCATGGCCACTATTGATGTCCCCAAGGCCACCCGTGGTGTCCCCAAGGTCACCCATGGTGTCCCCAAGTCAACATTGATGTCCCCAAGTCATCATTGATGTCCCCAAAGCCATTGTTGATGTCCCCAAGCCACCGTTGGTGTCCCCAAGTCAACATTGATGTCCCCAAGTCATCGTTGATGTCCCCAAGGCCATTGTTGATGTCCCCAAGGCCACCCATGGTGCCCTCAAGGCCACCCAAAGTGTCCCCAAGTCATCGTTGATGTCCCCAAGGCCACCATTGGTGTCCCCAAGTCAATGTCCCCAAGCCACCATTGATGTCCCCATGGCCACTATTGATGTCCCCAAGGTCATCCATGGTGTCCCCAAGTCATCGTTGATGTCCCCAAGGCCACCGCTGATGTCCCCAAGGTCACCCATGGTGTCCCCAAGGCCACCTATGATGTCCCTAAGGCCACTGTTGATGACCCCAAGACCACCATTGATGTCCCCAAGGTCACCCATGGTGTCCCCAAGGCCATTGTTGATGTCCCCAAGGCCATCATTGATGTCCCCAAGGCCACCTGTGGTGTCCCCAAGTCACCGTTGACATCCCCAAGGCCACCCGTTGTGTCCCCAAGACCACTGTTGATGTCCCCAAGTCATCATTGATGTCCCCAAGGCCACCATTGATGTCCCCAACCCATTGTTGATGTCCCCAAGGCCACCCATGATGTCCCCAAGGCCACCCAAGGTGTCCCCAAGTCAACATTGATGTCCCCAAGGCCATTATTGATGTCCCCAAGGCCACCCATGGTGTCCCCAAGGCCATTGTTGGTATCCCCAAGGCCACCCGTGATGTCCCCAAGGCCACCCAAGTTGTTCCCAAGTCAACGTTGATGTCCCCAACCCATTGTTGATGACCCCAAGGCCACCCATGGTGCCCTCAAGGTCATCCAAGGTGTCCCCAAGACCACCATTGATGTCCCCAAGTCAATGTTGATGTCCCCATGGCCACTATTGATGTCCCCAAGGCCACCCATGATGTCCCCAAGTCAATGTTGCTGTCCCCAAGTCAATGCTGATGTCCCCAAGGCCATTGTTGATGTCCCCAAGGCCACCCAAGGTGTCCCCAAGTCAACGTTGATGTCCCCAAGTCATCGCTGATGTCCCCAAGGTCACCCATGATGTCCCCAAGCCCACCCATGATGTCCCCAAGCCCCCCCGTGGTGTCCCCAAGCCCCCCCGTGGTGTCCCCAAGCCCACCATGATGTCCCCAAGCCCACCCAACTTGTCCCCAAGCCCCCCCATGATGTCCCCAAGCCCACCCATGATGTCCCCAAGCCCCCCCGTGGTGTCCCCAAGCCCACCCATGATGTCCCCAAGCCCCCCCGTGGTGTCCCCAAGCCCACCCATGATGTCCCCAACCCCCCCGTGGTGTCCCCAAGCCCACCATGATGTCCCCAAGCCCACCCATGATGTCCCCAACCCCCCCGTGGTGTCCCCAAGCCCACCATGATGTCCCCAAGCCCACCCATGATGTCCCCAAGCCCCCCCGTGGTGTCCCCAAGCCCACCATGATGTCCCCAAGCCACTGTTGATGTCCCCATGGCCACCCAAGGTGTCCCCAAGCCCACCATGATGTCCCCAACCCCCCCGTGGTGTCCCCAAGCCCCCCCGTGGTGTCCCCAACCCCCCGTGGTGTCCCTTACCCTGCAGCTGGACGTCCCCCCCCATGGCCGGTTCCTTGTCCAGGTCGTCCCGCGGCTCCTGGCTGTTGCGGAGGCTGAAGACCAGGCGGTGGAGCTGGGGACAAGAGGACACGGGGGGGGTGTCACCATGGTCACCCGGGTCCCTCGTCTTCATCCCATGGTCACCCGCACCCTCATCTTCCTCCTGTGGTCTCCTGAGTCCCTCGTCTTCCTCCCGTGGTGGCCTGTGGCCATCGTGGACACTTGGGTGCCTCATCTTCATCATCTAAGGACACTTGGGTCCTTCATCATCTTCATCATCTAGGGACACTTGGGTGCCTCATCATCATCATCATCATCACCATGGACACTTGGGTCCCTCATCTTCCTCCATGGCCACTTGAGACCCTCATCTTCATCATCTACAACACTTGGGTCCCTCATCTTCATCATCTACCCATACTTGGGTCCTTCATCATCATCTATGGCCACTTGAGTCCCTCATCTTCATCATCTATGGACACTTGGGTCCTTCATCATCATCTACCAACACTTGGCTCCCTCATCTTCCTCCATGGCCACTTGGGTCCCTCATCTTCATCATCTACCCACACTCAGCCCCCTCCTCTTCCTCAATGGACATTGGGGTCCCTCATCTTCATCTACAACACTTGGCTCCCTCATCTTCCTCCATAGATCCTTAGATCCCTCATCTTCATCATCTACAGACACTTGGGTCCCTCATCTTCCTCCATGGACACTTGGGTTCCTCATCTTCCTCCACGGACACTTGGGTCCCTCATCTTCATCATCTACACACACTTGGGTCCCTCATCATCATCATCATGGACACTTGGGCCCCTCATCTTCCTCCATGGCCACTTGGGTCCCTCATCTTCATCATCTACCCACACGGGTCCCTCATCTTCCTCCATAGACATTGAGGTCCCTCATCTTCATCATCTACTGATACGTGGGTCCCTCATCTTCCTCCATAGATCCTTGGGTCCCTCATCTTCATCATCTAAGGATACTTGGGTCTCTCATCTTCCTCCATGGCCACTTGAGACCCTCATCTTCCTCATCTAGGGACACTTGGGTCCTTCATCATCTACAGACACTTGGGTCCTTCATCATCATCATCATGGACACTTGGGTCCCTCATCTTCCTCCATGGCCACTTAGGTCCCTCATCTTCATCATCTACCCACACTTGGGTCCTTCATCATCATCTACCATCACTTGGGTCCCTCATCTTCCTCCATGGCCACTTGGGTCCCTCATCTTCCTCCATAGACATTGGGGTCCCTCATCTTCATCTACAACACTTGGGTCCCTCATCTTCCTCCATGGCTACTTGAGTCCCTCATCTTCATCACCTACCAACACTTGGGTCCTTCATCTTCCTCCATAGACATTGAGGTCCCTCATCTTCATCATCTACCCACACTTGGGTCCCTCATCTTCCTCCATGGCCACTTGAGTCCCTCATCTTCATCACCTACCAACACTTGGGTCCCTCATCTTCCTCCATAGATGCTGAGGTCCCTCATCTTCATCATCTATGGCCACTTGGGTCCCTCATCTTCATCATCTACCAACACTTGGGTGCCTCATCTTCCTCCATGGCCACTTGGGTCCCTCATCTTCATCATCTACAGACACTTGGGTCCTTCATCATCATCTACCATCACTTGGGTCCCTCATCTTCCTCCATGGCCACTTGGGTCCCTCATCTTCATCATCTACTGACATTTGGGTCCTTCATCATCATCTACCAACACTTGGCTCCCTCATCTTCCTCCATGGCCACTTGAGTCCCTCATCTTCATCATCTACTGATACGTGGGTCCCTCATCTTCCTCCATAGATCCTTGGGTCCCTCATCTTCATCATCTAAGGATACTTGGGTCCCTCATCTTCCTCCATGGCCACTCGGGTCCCTCATCTTCATCATCTACCCATACTTGGGTCCTTCATCATCATCTATGGCCACTTGAGACCCTCATCTTCATCATCTATGGACACTTGGGTCCCTCTTCTTCCTCCATAGATGCTGAGGTCCCTCATCTTCATCATCTACAGACACTTGGGTCCTTCATCATCATCTACCATCACTTGGGTCCCTCATCTTCCTCCATGGCCACTTGAGTCCCTCATCTTCATCATCTATGGACACTTGGGTCCTTCATCATCATCTACCAACACTTGGCTCCCTCATCTTCCTCCATGGACACTTGAGTCCCTCATCTTCATCATCTCCCCACACTCAGCCCCCTCCTCTTCCTCAATGGACATTGGGGTCCCTCATCTTCATCATCTACCCATACTTGGGTCCTTCATCATCATCTATGGCCACTTGAGTCCCTCATCTTCATCATCTATGGACACTTGGGTCCTTCATCATCATCATCTACAACACTTGGGTCCCTCATCTTCCTCCATAGACGCTGAGGTCCCTCATCTTCATCATCTAAAGACCCTTGGGTCCCTCATCTTCCTCCATGGCTACTTGAGTCCCTCATCTTCATCATCTACCAACCTCCCCCCCCCATCATCATCATCCTCTCTGCCCCCCCCCCCCCCCAATGTCACTCACGTCCCCCCCCTCCCAAAATGTCACTCACGTGCCGCCGGGGGATGGGCGGGTAGCAGAGCGAGACGGCGATGATGATGGCGCAGGTGGCGAGGAAGAGGACGATGGCGAAGTGCAGGTAGTGGAGGCCGCAGATGAAGGCCGGGCAGCGCCCGGGGGCCTCGCACGTCCCCGTCCCCAACACGAACTCCGGCACCATCCGGCCCAGGCCCAGCAGCAGGCCCAGCACCAGGCCCCAGAAGGCGCCCTGGGGGGGGGAGATGGGGCATGGGGGGGGTCCCGTGGGGGCCACTTGGGTCTCCTGGTGGCCACTGGGATCTCCTGGAGGCCATTTGGGTCTCCTGGTGGCCACTGGGATCTCCTGGAGGCCATTTGGGTCTCCTGGAGGCCATTTGGGTTTCCTGGAGGCCACTTGGGCCTTCTGGAGGCCATTTGGGTCTCCTGGGGGTCACTTGGGCCTCCTGGAGGCCACTTGGGTCTCCTGGAGGCCATTTTGGTCTCCTGGAGGCCACTTGGGTCTCCTGGAGGCCACTTGGGTCTTCTGGAAGTCGCTTGGGTCTCCTGGAGGCCAATGGGTCTCTTGGAGGCCACTGGGATCTCCTGGAGGCCATTTTGGTCTCCTGGAGGCCACTTGGGTCTCCTGGAGGCCATTTTGGTCTCCTGGAGGCCACTTGGATCCCCTGGTGGCCACCTTGATTGCCCAGAGGCCGCTTTGGTCTCCTGGAGGCTACATGGGCCTTCTGGAGGCTACTGGGTTCCCCTGGAGGCCACTGGGATCTCCTGGAGGCCATTTGGGTCTCCTGGAGGTCGCTTGGGCCTCCTGGAGGCCATTTGGGTCCCCTGGAGGCCACTGGGTCTCTTGGAGGCCACTGGGATCTCCTGGAGGCCACTGGGTCTCTTGGAGGCCACTGGGATCTCCTGGAGGCCATTTTGGTCTCCTGGAGGCCACTTGGATCCCCTGGTGGCCACCTTGATCGCCCAGAGGCCACTTTGGTCTCCTGGAGGCTACTTGGGCCTTCTGGAGGCTACTGGGTCTCTTGGAGGCCACTGGGATCTCCTGGAGGCCATTTTGGTCTCCTGGTGGCCACTTGGGTCCCCTGGAGGCCATTTTGGTCTCCTGGAGGCCACTTGGATCCCCTGGTGGCCACCTTGATCGCCCAGAGGCCACTTTGGTCTCCTGGAGGCTACTTGGGCCTTCTGGTGGCCACTTGGGTCTCCTGGTGGCCACTGGGATCTCCTGAAGGCCAGTTGGGTCTCCTGGAGGCTACTTGGGTCTCCTGGAGGCCACTTGGGTCTCCTGGAGGTCGCTTGGGTCTCCTGGAGGTCGCTTGGGTCTCCTGAGGGTCGCTTGGGCCTCCTGGTGGCCACTTGGGTCCCCTGGTGGCCACTGGGATCTCCTGGAGGCCATTTGGGTCTCCTGGAGGTCGCTTGGGTCTCCTGGAGGCCATTTTGGTCTCCTGGAGGCCACTTGGATCCCCTGGTGGCCACCTTGATCGCCCAGAGGCCACTTTGGTCTCCTGGAGGCTACTTGGGCCTTCTGGAGGCTACTGGGTTCCCCTGGAGGCCACTGGGATCTCCTGGAGGCCATTTGGGTCTCCTGGGGTCACTTGGGTCCCCTGGAGGCCATTTGGGTCTCCTGGTGGCCACTTTGGTCTCCTGGAGGCTAATTGGGCCTTCTGGAGGCTACTGGGATCTCCTGGAGGCCACTTGGGTCTCCTGGTGGCCACCTGGATCTCCTGGAGGCCACTTGGGTCTCCTGGAGGCCAGTGGGTCTCTTGGAGGCCAGTGGGATCTCTTTGGGGTCACTTGGGCCTCCTGGTGGCCACTTGGATCCCCTGGTGGCCACCTGGGTTGCCCAGAGGCTACTTGGGCCTTCATCATCATCTATGGACACTTGGGTCCCTCATCATCATCTTCATCATCTACAGACACTTGGGTCCTTCATTGTCATCTACGGCACCTAGGTCCCTCATCTTCATCATCTAAGGACACTTGGGTCCGTCATCATCCTCCTCATCATCATCATCTAAGGGCACTTAGTTCCTTCATCATCATCTTCAACCCTTGAGTCCCTCATCTTCCTCCACAGACCCTTAGGTCCTTCATCTTCATCATCTACCAACACTTGGGTCCCTCATCATCATCATCATGGACACTTCGGTTCCTCATCTTCCTCCATGGCCACTTGAGACCCTCATCTTCATCATCTAAGGACACTTGGGTCCTTCATCATCATCTACCAACACTTGGCTCCCTCATCTTCCTCTTCCTCCATAGACTTGGGTCCTTCATCATCATCATCATCATCTATGGACACTTGGGTCCTTCATCATCATCTACAACCCTTGAGTCCCTCATCTTCCTCCACAAACCCTTGGGTCCTTCATCATCATCATCATCATCATCATCATCGTCATCATCATCTAAGGACACTTGCATCCTTCATCATCATCTACCATCACTTGGGTCCCTCATCTTCATCATCTATGGACACTCAAGTCCTTCATCATCATCATCATCATCATCATCTAAGGGCACTTAGTTCCTTCATCATCATCTTCAACCCTTGAGTCCCTCATCTTCCTCCATAGACCCTTAGGTCCTTCATCTTCATCATCTACCAACACTTGGGTCCCTCATCTTCATCATCTAAGGACACTTGGGTCCTTCATCATCCTCATCATCATCTATGGACACTTGAGTCCTTCATCATCATCTACGGACACCTGGGTCCCTCATCTTCATCATCTAAGGACACTTGAGTCCTTCATCATCCTCATCATCATCTATGGACACTTGGGTCCTTCACCATCATCTTCAACCCTTGAGTCCCTCATCTTCCTCTACAGACCCTTAGGTCCTTCATCTTCATCATCAACCAACACTTGGGTCCCTCATCTTCCTCCACGGACTCTTGGGTCCCTCATCTTCATCATCTATGGACACTCAAGTCCTTCATCATCATCATCATCACCATCTACGGACACTTGGGTCCTTCATCATCATCTACCAACCCTTGAGTCCCTCATCTTCCTCCCTAGACCCTTGGGTCCTTCATCATCATCATCATCATCTATGGACACTTGGGTCCTTCATCATCATCTACCAACCCTTGAGTCCCTCATCTTCCTCCCTAGACCCTTGGGTCCTTCATCATCATCATCATCATCTATGGACACTTGGGTCCTTCATCATCATCTACCAACCCTTGAGTCCCTCATCTTCCTCCATATACCCTTGGGTCCTTCATCATCATCATCCATAGACCCTTGTGCCCTTCATCTTCATCATCTATGGGCACTTGAGTCCTTCATCATCATCTTCATCATCTAAGGACACTTGGGTCCTTCATCATCATCTACCAACACTTGGGTCCCTCCTCTTCCTCCACAGACCCTTGGGTCCTTCATCATCATCATCTACCAACACCTTGGTCCCTCATCTTCCTCCACGGACTCTTGGGTCCCTCATCTTCATCATCTATGGACACTCAAGTCCTTCATCATCATCATCATCATCATCATCTATGGACACTTGGGTCCCTCATCATCATCATCTAAGAACACTTGAGTCCTTCATCATCATCATCACCATCTACGGACCCTTGGGTCCTTCATCATCTACAGCCCCTTGTGCCCCTCATCTTCATCACCCACCACCCCTCCTCATCCTCCTCCCCCCCCCCCAAAAAAAAAAAAGCCCCTCCCCCTCTCACGGGCTCGTTGACGCGGGGCACGAAGATGGCGAGGAAGAAGACGGCGGCGATGGGGGGCGTGAGGAAGCTGCCCACGGCCTGGATGTAGTCGAAGAGGCGCCCGCCCTGCGCCGCCTGCACCACCGGCAGCCAGGCCAGGCTCAGGCCCACCAGGACCACCATCCACAGCCTGCGGGGACACTGGTGACACCCCCTGGTCACCCCCCTGGTGGCACCTCGTTGGCCACCGTTGACCGTGGTCAACGGTTGGCCAATGTTGGCTGCGGTCCTGTGGTGGTCCCGTGGGCCTGTGGTGGCCCCCATGGATCTGTGGTGGCCCTGTGGTGGCCCTGTGGTGGGCCTATGGACCTATGGTGGCCCTATGGTGGCCCCATGGTCCTGTGGTGGCTCCATGGACCTGTGGTGTCCCCATGGCCCTATGGTGGCCCCACAGCCCTATGGTGGCCCTATGGACCTATGGTGGCCCCATGGATTTATGGTGTCCCCATGGCCCTATGGTGGCCCTATGGACCTATGGTGGCCCTGTGGTTGCCCCGTGGCCCTATGGTGGCCCCATGGCTCTATGGTGGCCCCATGGCTCTATAGTGGCCCCATTGACCTGTGGTGGCCCTATGGACCTGTGGTGTCCCCATGGTGGCCCTGTGGACCTATGGTGGCCCCATGGTCCTGTGGTGTCCCCATGGCCCTGTGGTGGCCCCAAGGACCTATGGTGGCCCCATAGCCCTATGGTGGCCCCAAGGTCCTATGGAGGCCCCATGGACCTATGGTGGCCCTATTGTGGCCTCGTGGCCCTGTGGTGTCCCCATGGCCCTGTGGTGGCCCCAAGGACCTATGGTGGCCCCATAGCCCTATGGTGGCCCCAAGGTCCTATGGAGGCTCCATGGACCTATGGTGGCCCTATTGTGGCCTCATGGCCCTGTGGTGGCCCCATGGCCCTGTGGTGACCTTATGGTGGCCCTGTGGTGACCCTATGGACCTATGGTGGCCCTATGGTGGCCCCGTGGCCCTATGGTGGCTCCATGGACCTGTGGTGTCCCCATGGACCTATGGTGGCCCTATGGCCGTATGGTGGTCCCGTGGCCCTATGGTGTCCCCATGGCCCTATGGTGTCCCCATGGACCTATGGTGGCCCCATGGATTTATGGTGTCCCCGTGGACCTATGGTGGCCCTATGGACCTATGGTGGCCCCGTGGTGGCCCCATGGACCTATGGTGGCCCCAAGGACCTATGGTGGCCCCATGGACCTGTGGTGGCCCTATGGACCTATGGTGTCCCCATGGTGTCCCCATGGTGTCCCCATGGCCCTATGGTGACCCCATGGCTCTATGGTGTCCCTATGGTGGCCTCATGGACCTATGGTGTCCCCATGGACCTATGGTGTCCCCATGGACCTATGGTGGCCCCAAGGTCCTATGGAGGCCCCATGGACCTATGGTGGCCCTATTGTGGCCTCGTGGCCCTGTGGTGTCCCCATGGCCCTGTGGTGGCCCCAAGGACCTATGGTGGCCCCATAGCCCTATGGTGGCCCCAAGGTCCTATGGAGGCTCCATGGACCTATGGTGGCCCTATTGTGGCCTCATGGCCCTGTGGTGTCCCCATGGCCCTGTGGTGACCTTATGGTGGCCCTGTGGTGACCCTATGGACCTATGGTGGCCCTATGGTGGCCCCGTGGCCCTATGGTGGCTCCATGGACCTGTGGTGTCCCCATGGACCTATGGTGGCCCTATGGCCGTATGGTGGTCCCGTGGCCCTATGGTGTCCCCATGGCCCTATGGTGTCCCCATGGACCTATGGTGGCCCCATGGATTTATGGTGTCCCCGTGGACCTATGGTGGCCCTATGGACCTATGGTGGCCCCGTGGTGGCCCCATGGACCTATGGTGGCCCCAAGGACCTATGGTGGCCCCATGGACCTGTGGTGGCCCTATGGACCTATGGTGTCCCCATGGTGTCCCCATGGCCCTAGGGTGACCCCATGGCTCTATGGTGTCCCTATGGTGGCCTCATGGACCTATGGTGTCCCCAAGGACCTATGGTGTCCCCATGGACCTATGGTGGCCCCAAGGACCTATGGTGGCCCCATGGTCCTGTGGTGGCCCTATGGCCATATGGTGTCCCCATGGTGTCCCCATGGCCCTATGGTGACCCCATGGCCCTGTGGTGGCCCAATGGCCATATGGTGTCCCTGTGGCCCTATGGTGGTCCCCATGGACCAATGGTGGCCCAATGGCTGTATGGTGGTCCCGTGGCCCTATGGTGTCCCCGTGGTGTCCCCGTGGTGTCCCCATGGCTCTATGGTGGCCCTATGGATCTAAGGTATACCCATGATGTCCCTTATGCCCTATGGTGGCCCCATGGATTTATGGTGTCCCCATGGCCCTAAGGTGTCCCCGTGGTGTCCCCATGGACCTATGGTGGCCCTATGGTGTCCTTGTGGCCCTATGGTGGCCCCATGGACCTATGGTGGCCCTATGGTGTCCTTGTGGCCCCGAGGTGTCCCCATGGCTCTATGGTGGCCCTATGGACCTATGGTGGCCGTATGGTGGCCCCATGGCTCCATGGTGGCCCCATGGCCATTATAGTGGCCTCGTGGTCCTATGGTGGCCCTGTGGGCCTATAGTGGCCCTGTGGTGTCCCCATGGCCCTATGGTGGCCCCATGGACCTATGGTGACCCTATGGTAGCCCCATGGACCTGTGGTGGCCCCAAGGACCTATGGTAGCCCTATGGTGGCCCAGTGGCTCTATGGTGGCCCTGTGGACCTATAGTGTCCCCGTGGTGGCCCCATGGACCTATGGTGGCCCAATAGCCCTATGGTGGCCCCGTGGTTGCCCCGTGGAACTATGGTGGTCTCCATAGTGTCCTTGTGGCCCTATAGTGTCCCCATGGCCCTATGGTGTCCCCGTGGCCCTATGGTGTCCCCATGGACCAATGGTGGCCCAATGGCCGTATGGTGGTCCCGTGGCCCTATGGTGTCCCCATGGCTCTATGGTGGCCCCATGGATTTATGGTGTCCCCATGGCCCTAAGGTGTCCCCGTGGTGTCCCCATGGACCTATGGTGGCCCTATGGTGTCCTTGTGGCCCCGAGGTGTCCCCATGGCTCTATGGTGGCCCTATGGACCTATGGTGGCCGTATGGTGGCCCCATGGCTCCATGGTGGCCCCATGGCCATTATAGTGGCCTCGTGGTCCTATGGTGGCCCTGTGGGCCTATAGTGGCCCTGTGGTGTCCCCATGGCCCTATGGTGGCCCCATGGTGGCCCCATGGCCCTATGGTGACCCTATGGTAGCCCCATGGACCTGTGGTGGCCCCAAGGACCTATGGTAGCCCTATGGTGGCCCAGTGGCTCTATGGTGGCCCTGTGGACCTATAGTGTCCCCGTGGTGGCCCCATGGACCTATGGTGGCCCAATAGCCCTATGGTGGCCCCGTGGTTGCGCCGTGGAACTATGGTGGTCTCCATAGTGTCCTTGTGGCCCTATAGTGTCCCCATGGCCCTATGGTGTCCCCGTGGCCCTATGGTGTCCCCATGGCTCTATGATGGCCCTATGGTGGCCCTGTGGTGGCCCTGACGTCCTATGGTGGCCCTATGGCCCTGTGGTGTCCCCATGGCCCTGTGGTGGCCCCATGGCCCTATGGTGGCCCCGTGGTTGCCCTGTGGACCTATGGTGGCCCCATGAACCTGTGGTGGCCCTATGGTGGCCCCATGGTCCTATGGTGTCCCAATGGCTCTATGGTGGCCCTGTGGCCCTATGGTGGCCCCAGGGCCCTATGGTGTCCCCATGGACCTATGGTGGTCCCCATGGTGTCCCCACGTCCCCGTGGTGTTCCCAAGTCCCCATGGTGTCCCCAACGTTCTCCATCCCCATGGTGCCCCCAGGTTCTCATGGTGTCCCCAAGTCCCCGTGGTGTCCCCAAATCCCCATGGCGTCCCCAACGTTCTCCATCCCCATGGTGCCCCCAGGTTCTCATGGTGTCCCCAAGTCCCCGTGGTGTCCCCAAATCCCCCCGGTGTCCCCAACGTTCTCCATCCCCATGGTGCCCCAGGTTCTCATGGTGTCCCCAAGTCCCCGTGGTGTCCCCAAATCCCCATGGTGTCCCCAACGTTCTCCATCCCCATGGTGCCCCCAGGTTCTTATGGTGTCCCCAAGTCCCCCCGGTGTCCCCAACGTTCTCCATCCCCATGGTGCCCCCAAGTTCTCATGGTGTCCCCAAGTCCCCCGTGGTGTCCCCAAATCCCCCCGGTGTCCCCTTTGTTCTCCATCCCCATGGTGCCCCCAGGTTCTCATGGTGTCCCCATGTCCCCCCGGTGTCCCCAAGTCCCCATGGTGTCCCCAACGTTCTCCATCCCCATGGTGCCCCCAGGTTCTCATGGTGTCCCCATGTCCCCGTGGTGTCCCCAAATCCCCATGGTGTCCCCAACGTTCTCCAGCCCCATGGTGCCCCCAGGTTCTCATGGTGTCCCCAAGTCCCCGTGGTGTCCCCAAATCCCCGTGGTGTCCCCAACGTTCTCCATCCCCATGGTGCCCCCAGGTTCTCATGGTGTCCCCAAGTCCCCGTGGTGTCCCCACGTCCCCCCGGTGTCCCCAGTGCCCCCCCAGTGTCCCCACCTGCCGGCGATGAGCAGCTGGCGCTGCGTGGCGTGGGGCCGCAGGCGCCGGTAGATGTCGAGGGAGAAGATGGCGCTGGCGCTGGCGAAGATGGAGGCCAAGGAGGACATCAGGGCCGCCAGCACCGCCGCCAGCATCAGCCCCCGCAGCCCTGCCGGGGCGGCGGTAATTAATTAGGCGGGGTGTTAATTAGGAGGGGTGTTCATTAGGGAGCCCGGACCCAACGTGGTGGGCCTCCAGGAGGGCCACGGAGGTCGGATTCGGGGGTTAATGGCGGCTAATCTGGGATTATTGGGGGTTAATGTGGGATTAATGATGATAATATGGGATTAGTGGTGGTTTATATGGGATTAATGCTGCTAATATGGGATTAATGGTCGGAAATATGGCATTTATGGTCTCTAATATGGGATTATTGGCCTCTAATATGGGATTAATGTTGATAATATGGGATTAGTGGTCGGTAATATGGGATTAATGGTCTCTAATATGGGATTAACGGCCTCTAATATGGGATTAATGGTCAGAAATATGGCATTTATGGTCTTTTATATGGGATTATTGACCTCTAATATGGGATTATGGGCCTCTAATATGGGATTAGTGGTCGGTAATATGGCATTTATGGTCTCTAATATGGGATTATGGGCCTCTAATATGGGATTAATGGTCGGTAAAATGGTATTAATGCTCCTAATATGGGATTATTGGCTTCTAATATGGGATTAATGCTGCTAATATGGGATTAATGGTCGGTAATATGGCATTTATGGTCTCTATTATGGGATTAATGACCTCTAATAAGGGATTATGGCCTCTAATATGGGATTAATGCTGCTAATATGGGATTAGTGGTCGGTAATATGGCATTTATGGTCTTTAATATGGGATTATTGCCCTGTAATATGGGATTAATGTTGATAATATGGGATTAATGGTCGGTAATATGGCATTTATGGTCTCTTATATGGGATTATCGACCTCTAATATGGGATTATGGGCCTCTAATATGGGATTAGTGGTCGGTAATATGACATTTATGGTCTCTATTCTGGGATTAACGGCCTCTAATATGGGATTAATGCTGATAATATGGGATTAGTGGTCGGTAATATGGCATTTATGGTCCCTAATATGGGATTATTGGCTTCTGATATGGGATTAATGCTGCTAATATGGGATTAGTGGTCGGTAATATGGCATTTATGGTCTCTATTATGGGATTATGGCCTCTAATATGGGATTATGGCCTCTAATGTGGGATTAATGGCCGTTAATCAGGGATTAATAGATTTAATAGCTGCTAATAACCCATTAATAGGCATTAATAATCCCCTAATGACCCTCAATTACCACTAATAATCCCTTAATAACCCTCAATTACCTCCAATAACCCCCAATAACCCATATAATCCCATAAAATCCCATATAATCCCACATATTCCCATAAAACCCCATAAAATCCCACATAATCCTCTAAAATCCCCTATAATCCCACATAATCCCATAAAATCCCACAAAATCCCCTATAATCCCATAAAATCCCTTATAATCCCCTATAATCCTATAAAATCCCACATAATCCCATAAAATCCCATAAAAACCCATATAAACCCGTAAAATCCCACATAATCCCATATAATCCCCTATAATCCCATATAATCCCATAAAATCCCATATAATCCCACATAATCCCATATAATCCCATATAATCCTACCGGTGGGCAGCAGGGTGACGACGAGGCGGGGGTAGGCCACGTTGGAGCAGCCCGCGGGGGAGCCGCAGGCGCGCAGGCAATCCTCGGGGTCCGTGCAGCCCACCACGTCTGCGGGATTAGGGGATTAGTACCGGGATTAGGGGATTAGGGCCGGGATTAGGGGATGAGGGACCGGGTAAGGGGATAAAACACGGGATTAGGGGGAATAAAAGCGAGATTATGGGGTTTATGGGTGGGATTAGGGGTTTTAGGGTCGGGATTAGGGGATTAGGGTCGGGATTAGGGGATTAGGGCCGGGATTAGGGGATTAGGGTCGGAATTAGGGGGATGAGGGACCGGGTAAGGGGATAAAACACGGGATTAGGGGGAATAAAAGCGAGATTATGGGGTTTATGGGTGGGATTAGGGGTTTTAGGGGCGGGGATTAGGAGGATTGGGGGCATTAGGGGAATTTGGGTGCAAGATTTTGAGGATAATGGGTGTGGGATTAGAGGTTTTAGGGGTGGATTGGGGGTTAGGGGTGGGATTAGGGATTAGGGGTGGGATATAAGGATATTTGGGGTATTAGGGGCTGGATTAGGGGTCAGGGGCAGGTTTAGGGATTAGGGGCAGGATTAGGGAATTATGGGCGGGATTAGTGGTTAAAATATGAGATTAGGGGATTAGGGGCGGGATTATGGGGATTAGGGATGAGAATAGGGGATGGGGCACGAGATTATGGAATTGGGGTGGGATTAAGGGAATTAAGGGGGTTTAGGATTTTTAAAGGGGACTAGGATCAGGAATAGGGGATGGGTGGGATTAGGTGATTTTAGAGGGATTTGGGGGATTATTGGATTATTGGGATTATTGGGGGTATAAGGGGCGGGAATTAGCGGAATGGGGTGGGATTAGATGAGATTAGGGGGGATTTGGGGGGATTAGGTGAAATTTATGGGATTAAGGGTGGGATTAGGACGGATTTTAGTACATGATCTGGATTTGGTGGGGGGAAATTGGGGCGGGATTAGGTGAATTTTGTGGGATTAGTGGTGGGATTAAGACTTTTTTAGTAATTTGGGTGGGATTAGGGGATTATCCGGGACTAGGGGTGCAAGAAAGCGGGATTCGAGGGATTAGGGGCGGGATTGTGGGGTGCCGTGGAGGGCGGCCATCTTGGATGGCGGCCATCTTTGGTAGCCATTTTAGGTAGCCACATTGGGTAGCCATCTTGGGCAACCATCTTGGGCGGCGGCCATCTTGGATGGTGGCCATCTTGGATGGTAGCCATCTTGGGAGGCGGCCATTTTGGGTAGCCACATTGGGTGGCCATCTTGCACCCCTTTTAGCTCCCCCCCCGGGCAACCGTTTGGGGATTTGGGCTAGCGGGGGGCAGGGCGGGCACGCACCCGGGGAAGAGGAGGCGGGCGGCCATCTTGGATGGCTGCCATCTTGGCTGGTGGCCATCTTGGGCGGCCATTTTAGGTAGCCACATTGGGCAACCATCTTGGACGGCCATCTTTGATGGCAGCCATCTTTGATAGCAGCCATCTTGGGCAACCATCTTGGGCAACCATTTTGAGCAGCCATCTTGGGCGGCCATCTTGGCCACCCCTTTTAGCTCCTCCCCCCGGGCAACCATTTTGGGATTTGGGCTAGCAGGGGCGGCGGGCACGCACGGGGAAGAGGAGCGGGGGCGGCCATCTTGGGCAGCCATTTTAGGTAGCCACATTGGGCAACCATCTTGGGTGGCCATCTTGGACAGCCATTTTAGGAGGCGGCCATCTTGGGAGGCGGCCATTTTAGGTAGCCACATTGGGCGGCCATCTTGGGTAGCCATGTTGGGCAACCATCTTGGGCGGCCATCTTGGGTGGCAGCCATCTTGGGCGGCCATTTTAGGTAGCCACATTGGGCGGCCATCTTGGGTGGCCATCTTTGATGGCAGCCATCTTGGGAAGCAGCCATTTTAGGTAGCCACATTGGGCAACTATCTTGGACAGCCATTTTAGGAGGCGGCCATCTTGGGAGGCCGGCCCATTTTAGGTAGCCACATTGGGCGGCCATCTTGGGTGGCAGCCATTTTAGGGTAGCCACATTGGGTAGCCATCTTGGGCAACCATCTTGGGCGGTGGCCATCTTGGATGGTGGCCATCTTGGATGGTAGCCATCTTGGGAGGCGGCCATTTTAGGTAGCCCCATTGGGCAACCATCTTGGGCGGCGGCCATGTTAGCTCTCCCCCCCCCGGGCAACCATTTGGGGATTGTGGCTAGCGGGGGGCGGGGCAGGCATGCACCGGGGAAGAGGAGGCAGGCGGCCATCTTGGGTGGCAGCCATCTTGGGCAACCATCTTGAGTGGCCATCTTGGACGGCGGCCATCTTTGGTGGCCATTTTAGGTAGCCACATTGGGCGGCCATCTTGGGTGGCCATCTTTGATGGCAGCCATCTTGGGTGGCCATTTTAGGTAGCCATGTTGGGCAACCATCTTGGGCGGCAGCCATCTTGGGCAACCATCTTGGGCAGCCATCTTGGGTGGCAGCCATTTTTAGGTAGCCATCTTGGGCGGGCATCTTGGTGGCCATTTTAGGTAGCCACATTGGGGCAACCATCTTGGGCGGCCATCTTTGATGGCAGCCATCTTTGATAGCAGCCATCTTGGGTAGCCATTTTGGGCAACCATTTTGAGCAGCCATCTTGGGCGGCCATCTTGGCCACCCCTTTTAGCTCCTCCCCCCCGGGCAACCGTTTGGGGATTGTGGCTAGCGGGGGGCGGGGCGGGCACGCACCGGGGAAGAGGAGGCGGGCGGCCATGCCGGGCAGCACCATGAGGAAGACAGGCAGCACCTTCAGGTAGCCGCAGAGCACGCAGCCCGCCCGCATGTGCAGCAGCGAGCGGGACCGCCAGGCAGCGCTGCACGATCACCTGCCGGCACCAGTCACTCCCAGTAGCTCCCAGTAACTCCCAGTAACTCCTAATCCCCACCCACTCCCACCTAAAACCCATTCCAGTAGCTCCCAGTCCCTTCCAGTAGCTCCCAGTCTCTTCCAGTTCCTCCCAGTCCCTTCTAATCCCCTCCCAGTAGCTCCCAGGTCTTCCCAGTCCCTCCCAGTAGCTCCCAGTAGCTCCCAGTTCCTCCTAATCCCCACCCACTCCCGCCTAAAACCCATTCCAGTAGCTCCCAGGCCCTCCCAGTTGCTCCCAGTCTCTTCGAATACCCTCCCCGTAGCTCCCAGTCCCCTCCCAGTAGCTCCCAGTTCCTCCTAATTCCCTCCCAGTAACTCCCAGTAGCTCCCAGTAACTCCCAGTTCCTCCTAATCCCCACCCGCTCCTACCCAAAACCCATTCCAGTAGCTTCCAGTCCCTCCCAGTTGCTCCCACTTCCCCCTCCATAGCTCCCACTCCCTCTGAATCCCCTCCCAGTACCTCCCAGTTCTTCCCAGTAGCTCCCAGTAGCTCCCAGTTCCTCCTAATCCCCTCCCACTCCCACCTAAAACCCATTCCAGTAGCTCCCAGTCCCTCCCAGATGCTCCCAGTCCCTCCCAGTAGCTCCCACTCCCTCCGAATCCCCTCCCAGTAGCGCCCAGTTCTTCCCAGTCCCTCCCAGTAGCTCCCAGTAGCTCCCAGTAGCTCCCAGTAGCTTCTAATCCCCACCCGTTCCTACCTAAAACCCATTCCAGTAGCTCCCAGGCCCTCCCAGTTGCTCCCCAGTCTCTTCAAATACCTCCAGTACCTCCAATCCCCTCCCAGTAGCTCCCAGTCCCCTCCCAGCCTTCCCGTTCCCTCCCAGTAGCTCCCAGTTCCTCCTAATCCCCTCCCACTCCTGCCTAAAGCCTCTTCTGGAGCTCCCAGTCCCTCCCAGTAGCTCCCAGTAGCTCTCAGTCCCTCCCAGTCCCTCTAATCCCCTCCATCCCCTTCCAGCCCTCAATACCCCCTCCCAGTGTTTCCCAGTCCCTCCCAGTCCCCCCTTGTCTCCCACAGTCCATCCCAGTCCCCTCCAGCCCCCTCATACCCCCTCCCAGTGATTCCCAGTCCTCCCAGTCCTTTCCAACACCTCCAAGTCTTTCCCAGTACCCTCCCAGTACCCTCCCAGTCCCTCCCAGTACCCTCCCAGTCCCTCCCAGTCCCCCCAATCCCCTCCAGTGCCTCCCAGTCCCTCCCAGTGCCCTCCCAGTGCTTCCCAGTTGCTCCCAGTCCCCTCCCAGTCTATCCCAGTGCTCTCCCAGCCCCCTCATACCCCCTCCCAGTTCCTCCCAGTCCCTCCAGTCCCCTCCAATCCCCCCAACCCCTCCAATCACACCCAATCCCTCCCAATCCCCCCCAGTGCCTCCCAGTCCCCTCCAATCCCCCCCCAATCCCCCCTCCCAACCCCCCCAGCCCCCCTCCCAGTGCCTCCCAGTACCTGGTCGGTGCACCAGTACCAGCCGGCGGTGACTCCAGTCCCAGTAAGAGCCCGGCCAGGGCAGGTCGGTGCCGGGGGGGCGCAGCAGGCGCAGGGCCAGGGCCCGGGGCGAGGGGCACGGCCCGACACGTTGTGGGGCAGCGCGAGGGGGAAGCGCTGCCACAGCGACGGCAGCCCCCACCGCCGACAGGGCTGCGGGACCAGTATAAACCAGTATGAACCAGTATAGACCAGTACAGACCACTATGAGTCAGTATAATCCTGTATAAAGTGGTACAAACCAGTATGAACCAGTATGAACCAGTGCTAACCAGTATGAGAGAGTAGAGCCCACTAAGGTTCAAACCAGTATCGAACACTAGGAACCAGTATAAACCAGTAGGAACCAGTATAAACCACTAATAAACCAGGACAAGTCACTATAAGCCACTAGAAATGACTATAAACCAGTACAAACCAGTATGAACCAGTGCTAACCAGTATGAGAGAGTAGAGTCCACTATGGTTCAAGCCAGTTTGGAACACTAGAAACCAGTGTAAACCAGTATGAACCAGTACAAACCAGTATGAGCCACTATGAGTCACTATGAGCCAGTATAATCCCATATAAAGTGGTATAAACCAGTACAAACCAGTAAGAACCAGTGCTAACCAGTATGAGAGAGTAGAGCCCACTATGGCTCAAACCAGTATGGAACACTAGGAACCAGTATAAACCAGTATAAACCAGTATAGACCAATATAGACCAGTACACACCAGTATGAGCCACTATAAGCCAGTAAAATTCCATATAAAGTGGTATAAACCAGTACAAACCAGTATGAACCAGTGCTAACCATTATGAGAGAGTAGAGCCCACTATGGTTCAAACCAGTATGGAACACTAGGAACCAGTATAAACCAGTATGGACCAGTATAAACCAGTACAAACCACTATAAGCCAGTATAAACTGGAATACAGGGGTATAAACCAGTACAAACCAGTAAGAACCAGTGCTAACCAGTATGAGAGAGTAGAGCCCACTCTGGTTCAAACCAGTATGGAACACTAGGAACCAGTATAAACCAGTAGGAACCAGTACAGACCAGTATGAGCCACTATAAACCAGTATAAACTGGGATAAAGGGGTATAAACCAGTACAAACCAGTAAGAACCAGTGCTAATCAGTACGAGAGAGTAGAGTCCACTATGGTTCAAACCAGTATGGAACACTAGGAACCAGTATAAACCAGTAGAAACCAGTATAAACCAGTAGGAACCAGTATGAGTCAGTATAATCCCATATAAAGTGGTACAAACCAGTAAGAACCAGTATGAACCAGTGCTAACCAGTATGAGAAAGTAGAGCCCACTATGGTTCAAACCACTATGGAACACTAGAAACCAGTATGAACCAGTATGGACCAGTAAGCACCAGTATAAACCAGTAAGAACCAGTGCTAACCAGTAGGAGCTACTACAAACCAGCATAAACCAGTATAAACCAGTAGGACCAGTATAAACCAGTACAAGCCGCTATAAACCAGTAGGAACCCAGTATTACCCAAGACATGCAAACCAGTATGAACCAGTACAAACCAGTACAAACCAGTATGAACCAGTATGAACCAGTATGAACCAGTACATGCCTAACAACCGCCTCCCAGTCCCCCCAATCCCCTCCCAGTCCCTCCAGTGCCCCAGTCTTCTCCAGTCCCCTCCCAGTATAAACCAGTCCCCTCCCAGTGCTCCCCAGTCCTCCCAGTCCCTCCAGTCCTCCCAGTGCCCACCAGTCCCCTCCCAGTCCCTCCCAGTATAAACCAGTCCCCTCCAATCCCCCCAATCCTCCCCCACCCCCTCCCAGTATAAACCAGTGTCTCCCAGTATAAACCAGTGCCTCCCAGTATAAACCAGTCCCCTCCCAATCCCCCCAATCCCAATCTCCTCCCAATCCCCCACCCCCCCCAACCCCTCCCAGTACCCCCCCACCCCTCCAGTCCCCCCAACCCCCCAACCCCTCCCAGTATAAAACCAGTATAAACCAGTATAAACCAGTATAAACCAGTTCCCACCGTAGGCCGCCAGCACCGAGGCCCGCCCACGATCAGCAGCGTCTGCACCACGTCCGCGTACATCAGCGCCGCAGGCCCCCTGCGGCCAGTAGAAACCAGTATAAACCAGTATAACAGTATAAAAACCAGTCCCCTCCAGTATAAACCAGTATAAACCAGTATAACCAGTATAAACCAGTCCCCTCCCAGTCCCCTTCTAGTCCCTCCAGCGCCGCCCCCAGCCCCTCCCAGTATAAACCAGTCTCTCCCAGTTAGAAACTGGTGCCTCCCAGTAGAAACAGTGCCTCCCAGTATAACCAGTCCCCTCCCAGTGCCTCCCAGTAGAAACCAGTCCCTCCCAAACTCCCCCAATCCCCCCCAGTCCCTCCCAGTGCCCCCCCACCCCGTCCCCAGTGCCCCCCAGCCCCCTCCCAGTATAAACCAGTGCCTCCCAGTATAAACCAGTGCCTCCCAGTATAAACCAGTCCCCTCCCAGTCCCCCTCAGTCCCTCCAGTGCCCACCAGTCCCCTCCCAATCCCCCCCAACCCCCCCATCCCTCCCAGTGCCCCCCACCCCCTCCCAGTGCCCCCCCAGCCCCCTCCCAGTATAAACCAGTCCCCTCCCAGTATAAACCAGTGCCTCCCAGTATAAACCAGTCCCACCAGTGGCCGTGTAGATGCGGTGGCCGCCAGCAGCGCCCCCACGGCCCCGTAGAGCTCCCAGCCCAGCGCCTCCCGGATGAACACGGCCCCCGAAAACATGTCCACCTGCGGACCCCAAAATCCCCCGAATTCACCCCAAAATGGCACCCGAATCCCCATAAGGAACCCAGTCCCAGAGGGTGTGGCCAAAAAAACCCCAAATCCCAGAGATTTGCCCCAAATCCTACAAAATTCGACCCCAAATCCTATAGAAACCCCAAATCCCATAAGATACAGCCACCTGCCAGACCCAAAATCCCCGGAATTTACCCCAAAATCACCCCCAAACTCCCAAATCCCCAAAATCCTGCACTACTATGACATAAAACCCCAAATCCCAGAGATTTGCCCCAAAACCTATAAGGTTCGCCCCAAATCCATAAAACCCAAAAAAAACATAATTAACCCCCAAAAAAAACATAAAAACCCAAAATCACCCATAATTAGCCCCAAATCCCATAAACCCCTAAAACCCCAAATCCCCCAACTCCCCACCCCCTTTCCCCCCCGACCCCCAATAACCCCCTAAAAACCCAAATCCCCAAAACCCCAAAAACCCCAAAATCCCCGTAATTAAACCCCAAATCCCCCAAAAGCCCCAAAATCGCCAGAATTTACCCCAAATCCCATAAACCCCTAAAAACCCCAAATCCCCCAAACCCCCTAACCCCCCTTAACCCCTCCCCCCCGACCCATAACCCCCCCTAAAACCCCAAATCCCCAAAACCCCAAAAACCCAAAATCCCCGTAATTAACCCCAAAAACCCCCAAAGCCCCAAAAATCCCCATAATTAGCCCCAAATCCCATAAACCCCCAAAACCCCCCAATCCCCCAAAAATCCCAAAACCCTTTCCCCCCTTTCCCTCCCGACCCCATAAACCCCCCGAAAATCCCCCAAATCCCACAAAACCCCAAAAACCCCAAAATCGCCATAATTAACCCCAAATCCCCCCAAAGCCCCAAAATCGCTGTAATTAGCCCCAAAACCCCAAAACCCCTAAAAAACCCCAAATCCCCCCAAACTCCCCACCCCCCTTTTCCCCCCGACCCCATAACCCCCCCAAAAAACCCCAAATCCCCCAAAAACCCCCAAAAACCCCAAAATCCCCATAATTAACCCCAAAACCCCCAAAAGCCCCAAAATCGCCGTAATTAGCCCAAATCCCATAAACCCCCAAATCCCCCCAAATCCCCCAAATCCCCCTTTCCCCCCTTTCCCCCCGACCCCCATAACCCCCCTAAAAACCCCAAAATCCCCCAAAAACCCAAAAACCCCATAATATAACCCAAATCCTATAAAACCCAAAAATCCCCATAATTAACCCCAAAAAACCCCAAACCCCAAACCCCCTTTCCCCCCTTTCCCCCGGACCCCATAAACCCCCCGAAAAACCCCAATCCCAAAAAAACCCCAAAACCCACAAAAACCCCAAAAACCCAAAAACCCCAAAATCCCCATAATTAACCCCAAAAACCCAAAACCCCAAAATCCCCATAATTAACCCCAAATCCCATAAACCCCCAATCCCCCCAAATCCCCCAAACTCCCCCTTTCCCCCCTTTCCCCCCGACCCCATAAAACCCCTAAAAACCCCAAATCCCAAAAAAACCCCAAAAACCCAAAAAACCCCCTAAATACCCCAAATCCTACAAAAACCCCAAAATCCCCATAATTAACCCCAAAACCCCAAACCCCCTAACCCCCCTTTCCCCCGACCCCATAACCCCCTAAAACCCCAAATCCCCCAAAAACCCAAAAAACCCACAAAAACCCCAAAACCCCAAAAACCCCAAAATCCCCGTAATTAACCCCAAAACCCCAAAAAACCCCAAAATCGCCGGAATTAGCCCCAAATCCCATAAAAAACCCTCAAATCCCCCAAACTCCTTTTCTCCCCTTTCCCCCCCGACCCATAAACCCCCCCTAAAAACCCCAAATCCCCCAAATCCCCCAAAAACCCAAAAACCCCCGTAATTAACCCCAAAACCCCCAAAAGCCCCAAATCGCCGTAATTAGCCCCAAAACCCTAAAACCCCAAATCCCCCAACCCCCCCCACCCCCCCTTTCCCCCCGCCCCCCCGACCCCATAACCCCCGAAAAACCCCAAATCCCAAAAACCCAAAACCCCCAAATAACCCCAAATCCTACAAAAACCCCAAAATCCCCATAATTAACCCCAAAAACCCCAAAACCCCCTAACCCCCCCTTTCCCCCCTTTCCCCCGGACCCCATAAACCCCCCGAAAAACCCCAAAATCCCTAAAACCCCCAAACCCACAACAAAAACCCCAAAACCCCAAAAACCCAAAATCGCCGTAATTACCCCAAAACCCCAAAAGCCCCAAAATCCCCATAATTAACCCCAAATCCCATAAACCCCCAAATCCCCCCAAATCCCCCCTAACCCCCTTTCCCCCGCCCTCCCCGACCCCATAACCCTAAAAACCCCAAATCCCACAAAACCCCAAAAACCCCAAATCCCCATAATTAACCCCAAAAACCCCCAAAGCCCCAAAATCGCCATAATTAACCCAAATCCCATAAACCCCTAAAAACCCCCAAATCCCCCCAAACTCCCCACCCCCCCTTTCCCCCCGACCCATAACCCCCCCTAAAAACCCCAAATCCCCCAAACCCAAAAACCCCAAATCCCCATAATTAACCCCAAAATCCCAAAAGCCCAAAATCCCCATAATTAACCCCCAAAACCCCCAAAACCCCTAAAATCCCCAAATCCCCCCAAACTCCCCAGCCCCCTTTCCCCCGCCCCCCCCCGACCCCATAACCCCCCTAAAAACCCCAAATCCCCCAAAAACCAAAAACCCCAAATCCCCATAATTAACCCCAAAACCCCCAAAGCCCCAAAATCGCCGGAATTTGCCCCAAATCCCATAAAACCTATAAACCCGAAATTCCCCCCACCCCCTTTCCCCCCTTTCCCCCCGACCCCATAAACCCCCGAAAAACCCCAAATCCCCAAAACCCCCAAACCCCACAAACCCCAAAAACCCCAAAATCCCCATAATTAACCCCAAATCCCCCAAAAATGCCCCAAAATCGCCGGAATTTGCCCCAAAAAACCCCCAAACCCCAAACCCCCTAACCCCCTTTCCCCCCGACCCATAAACCCCCGAAAAAACCCAAATCCCCAAAACCCCCAAAACCCCACAAAAACCCCAAAAACCCCAAAAACCCAAAATCGCCATAATTAACCCCAAATCCCCCCAAAACCCCAAAATCCCCATAATTAACCCCAAATCCCATAAACCCTAAAACCCCAAATCCCCCAAACTCCCCCACCCCCCCTTTCCCCCCCTTTCCCCCCCGACCCCATAACCCCCCTAAACCCCAAATCCCCCCAAACCAAAACCCCCAAACCCCAAAATCCCCGTAATTAACCCCAAATCCCCCAAAATGCCCCCAAAATCGCCGGAATTTGCCCCAAACCGAGACGCGGGCGGCCCCGTAGAGCAGCAGCGAGAGCAGCGCCAGCAGCGGCCGCAGCCGCCGGGCCCCGAAGCGCAGCGCCAGGAACCGGGGCAGGGTCGGCACCTGCGGCACTGGTTTAGACTGGGTTATACTGGTTTGGACTGGTTTATACTGGTTTTATACTGGTTTATACTGGTTTATACTGGTTTATACTGGTTTGGACTGGGAAGGGCTGGTTTGGACTGAGGGGGGACTGGGAAGGGCTGGGGGGCACTGGGAGGGGCACTGGGAGGGATTGGGGGGTATGAAGGAGATTGGAGGGACTGGTTTATACTGGGAGGCACTGGTTTATACTGGTTTGGACCTGGTTTGGACTGGGAAGGGCTGGGAGAGGCTGGTTTGGACTGGGAGGGCACTGGGAAGGGGCTGGGAGCGATATAGGAGGGGACTGGGAGGGACTGCGAGGGGATTGGGGGGACTGGGATGGACTGGGTTATACTGGTTTATACTGGGTTATACTGGTTTGGACTGGTTTTATACTGGTTTGTACTGGTTTGGACTGGTTTGGACTGGGAGGGCACTGGGAGGGCACTGGAGGGGGTTGGAGGGTTGGGGGGCACTGGGAAGGGGACTGGGGGGAACTGGGAGGGGTTTGGGGGAGACTGGGTTGGGTTGGGGATGGTTATACTGGTTTTAACTGGGAGGGGTTTTGGGAGGGACTGGGGGACCGGGAGGGACTGGTTTATACTGGGAGGGACTGGGGGGCACTGGAGGGGGGGAAATTGGAAAGGCTGGACTGGTGTATACTGGGGAAGGGGACTGGGGGACTGGGAAGGACTTGGAGGGGGTTGGGGGGACTGGGAGGGACTGGGAGGGACTGGTTTATACTGGGTTATACTGGTTATACTGGTTTGGACTGGTTTGGACTGGGAAGGTCTGGGAGGGCACCGGGGGGCACTGGGGGGGACTGGGAGGACTGGGAGGGGATTGGAGGGACTGGGAGGAACTGGTTTATACTGGGAGGCACTGGGGGGGACTGGTTTGAGTACTGGTTTATAACTGGTTTGTACTGGGAGGGACTGGGGGAATACTGGTTTTGGACTGGGAGGGGCTAGTTTGGACCTGGTTTTGGTTACTGGTTTATACTGGCACTGGTTTGGGGAGGCACTGGGGGGA